CAGGTCACCCTAGCTTACTCAAGACTTTGGATGACACACCCCCTACTGGTCCATCAGTTGAGGTAGGGGCATTCCCCTCCCCCTGCAGCTACACATCACAAAGGGGCGGTAAATGACCCTGCCGCAACTGATTGGGAGGAAGTGTGGAGGCGTCAGTTTCAGCGTGCTTGGGTGTATTAAGTTTGTACCAAAGCCCAGTCTATCACTAGTGTTCAGGAGGTGATACCGCTGCCTCCTGAATGCTTTTTGTTTTTTTTAATTGATCCCAAAGGGATTTTACATTAATTATTGTGTGCCAGGCACATGGTTACGGTGTGGTCGCATTGACTACAATAGGGGTGGTGCCCCCCTGTCAGCTATAACATGCCAAATTCAAGATCACTATACCACAGCAATGTCAACAGCCTAGCGGCTGCCACGTCAGTGTGTAGGTGGATAGTAAACACGCGGCGTGAAGTAGTATTAAAGTCTCACACTTCTTTCAATGATTAATTTGGATCAAACAAATATACACTGCCCAGCAAAGTATTTATTTACAGTTTGTTTGCCAAAACACTTACAGTCATTGGGGAGAATTTATCAAATCTAGATCAGTTGCCCAGGGCAACCAATCAGCGTCTCTCTTCAGTTTGTCCAGTTAAGATTTGAAAATGAAAGAGAGAAGCTGATTGGTTGCCATGCACTTCTTCCCCTGGATTTTGATAAATTCCGCTCATTATGTTTCCAAACAGTTCCAACTCTCTTAGCTCTGCTTCTATGAACTCCCTGTCCATACAAGATCACAAAGGATAGAGCTGTTTCAAGCAGCTGCCCATCTAATAGCTTGGGGTGGGGGGGCGGCGTATTGGCTTGCTGTGTTTGTGGAGACACACAGCTTTCTACAGTACACAAAGGTGGCTCCATAGGACCTTGCAAGGGAAAGGAACCACCCTAAAACATGATATCGGGGTCACTGCTCAGGGGACCAGCTAACTAAAACGTGTAAACATAACAGGAGCAGCATCCGTTGTAAGTGAATTGAATAGTATTTGAAATTGCCTCAAAACCCTGAGTTTAATATCATGTTAAAGGCCTGTGTGAACCTAGCCCAAAGCCTCCTTAGAACAGAAGGTATTGACATCACAGCTATAGGATTAGTCATGACAGTGGGCGGAGCCATGCAAATAATTGCTTTACTTCCCGATGGCCAGATACAGATGGAACTGCTAGTATATAGAGCCAAATATACAGACATTTATTCCAAACTGCATACAGCTGTTTCTGACTATATGTCCATCATCAGTGCAGTGTATGGAAACCATGGCTTCTATGGAGTAGAACTTGGGACCCAACAATACAGTATTACCATTCAGTTTGGCGTAAAACATGTTTAGACAATATTTGCATTATTATTGCATTTCTGGATGTAAATTTGGCCAATGGGGTGTAAAGCAATGATTTGCATGGTCCTGCCGACTGTCCTGACTAGGAGTATTGCTCTTATTTTTGGGATATGGGATGGAAAGAAGAAGGCTTTATTGTGCTATGCACTGATTCAGTTGGAGGCTTCTTGATTGCTTTAGTCCCTTCTCACCATAATGTTTATGCTTATACAGCACCAGTATACAAAGTACATACACTGCCTAGCCAAAAAGAAAAAGCCACCACCTAGATTTCGGGCAGTGTTCTGATCTGGGGTTGCTTCAGCTGGTCAAGTCTAGATTCAGCAGCATTATGTGTCCCAAAAAAATGGTCAGCTGTCTAGCTAGCTGTAGTATCCTTAACCTCAATTCCTATCCCTCCAATTCCCTTAATTGTAAATAGAATGTATGTATATCCCTATTTGTAAATAAACCCAACGCTTATTTAAGATTCAGTTGTTCATCAGTAATTTAAGGCACCCCCAAATCAGAGCACATTCTACATTTGAATGACCAGGTTTTTCCATCAATGGATTTTTTACTTCCCTGTTGGCACATATTCCAAGATGACAATGCCGGGATTCATGGAGCTCAGATTGTGAAAGAGTGGTGAGACATCACAGGGGTGTGGAAATGTAAAAAAAAAACTACTTGTCCAAGGGCTAAAGCGTGGGCCAAATCTACCTGTCCTTCATGACAATCTACTTGTCCCAATACAAAAAAATTGTTTTAATCAAAACTAAGGATGCACCAATACCGGTTTTTCGGTATTGAGTACGAGTACCGATTTTTTGCTGTCGGATCTCGCTGACACTGATTGGCCAGGAAGCCGGCTTTCCAGCCAATCAGCAAGGAGCCGGCTTCCCGGCCAATCAGAAAACCAGGAGGCGGGTCATTACGGCTTCCTGATTGCACCAGAAGCTGGCTCCATGTTCCCCTACGGCACTGCCAGTCAGAGGAAATTTTCATCTGGCCGTAAGTTCCAATATCGGGGAAGGTATCGGAGCATTTGGGTGAGTACGAGTACTCGCCCAAATACTCTGTATCGCACTGATACTAGTATCGGTGCACCCCTAATCAAAACATATTTGACTGTGCTAAATAGCGCTTCTCACTGGTCAGCGCAGTCATCTGACCACGTTGACCAATGAGTGCTTGCAATTTGCGAGCAAAATTCAAAATGCATAGGGGAGGACTGCGCTGGACAGCAGTACGGGGGACAGATAGTACACCCATACTGGTGGAGGGAAGGGATTATTCACCGAAAGGTAAGTATAGCCAGGGGGGGTGGCAATTTGGGAGAAACGGGGCCAGATTTCATCGAGTAATTTTTATTTTTCCATATTACCTGGGAAAATGAACTTACCCTTTAATGCACATTGTGTGTGTGTAAGAGAATTCTGGCTACCACCATGGAATGGCGGCTGCCATCTCAAATCACATGCAGAATGTCCTATGCATGCGTTTATTTGCATGCAGATGGCGGGGGCAGCAGGGTTTATTTTTATTTTATTTTTAACTTTTCCATTTTTAAAAAAATCTTTATATATTTTATAATTTTTTTAACTTTTAATTTTCTTTACATTTTTATTTACTTTTTCCACTTAATGTTATTCCTATCACATAGGGGATTAAAATCCCTTATGTGATAGTTTGGAGGTGACAGGTTCTCTTCATGGAACCTGCCCTCCAACACAGAACAGCTGTTCTGTGTAGTTCCTGACAGCTGAGACAGGTGGCGCTGTGATTACAGCGCCACAGTCTCAGAGTCTCCGTAGAGCACACATTTTTCGTCTGCTCTATGGGCTTTATGGCTGAGCCGTTGTGCCGTAGTCTTCGCGGTCCCCCAGGAGAGCGGGCGACCCCGAAAAACTACGGTGGGGGGTGCAGGCAAAAACGATCGCCGCTGCTCAAATTGATACAAGTGGTCTGATCAGACCACTTGTAGTAAACGAGTGTCGGCGGCTCCACAATGTACATTCAGCTCTGTTTGTCCGGAGCAGGGCTACATGTACATAAAAACTACTCGCCCGGCGCCCGAAACTGCATGTCTCGGCCATCGGGCGATAGGAATTCCACACCCCTGCATCATTGTCACACATGGATTGGCCACCGAAGAGTCCAGACTTTAACCCCATTGAGAATCCTTGAGATGTACTGGAGAATACTTTACTCTATAGGTTGGACTTTCTCTATAGGTTAGACTCGATGGACTTTTGTGTCTTTTTTTTTCAACCTGACTAACTATGTAACATTGATCTGACTCTCCCATCATCACTACAAGATCTCGGTGAAAAATGAATGCAACACTGGATGGAATAAATGTTATGACATTGCATAAGCTTATCAAAACTATGCCATGTCAAATGTGCACTATAATCAAAGCTAAAGTCGGTCCAACTAAATAGTGTGTGACTTTTTTTTTTTTTTTTGGACAAGCAGCGTAGAAACCTTCATAGATCAGTGGCTGCACACCGTCATCACGGTCTAATGCACACACAAGGAAACATATGGAGAGGCTGTAATACACACTGAGCACATCTTTAATACAAAACCTCACCCTTTCTTTTTCAATTCCCTCCTAACTTTTTGTTGGATTATCTCTAAAGTGGAACAAATATTTTGCAAACCGCACAGGTTAGGTTTTATAATGGGTTTTCTGCGTGCAGATCATACCTTGATTGAAGCCGATATGTTTGTGCTTGATTACATTGAAAGTAAGATAATTTGTGTAAGACAATACGACCAAAACAAACCCTTGCGTCTCTCTCTCTCTCTTTCTCAATAAAAAAAAAAAGATATATGTATTACTTTGTTACCTTAAGCACTGACAAAGCCATCTCTGAATCAGTAGGTCCATAACAGATATGAAAAAACATTACTCCATAAGGGGTATAGAGGTGCGAGAGCTGAAGTGGCGGGACTCAGCAGTGATATAGGAAAGATAGGAACCACTGCAGTGGGGGAACCCGACACTCCTGGAAGTGTTGGATGCTGGAGGTAGTAGTTTGTTTTTGTTTTGGGTAGATCATGGTTTGAGTGGCAAAAATAAAAGTGGTCACAACAGGATTTAGTCAGAGACCACTGTGTTAGGAACATACT